CCCCCAACCCACCCCCTTATCCTCCCCACCACAACACTCACAGAAAGGCACCCAAACCCCTTAAAAGTCATATTATTATACCAAATGCAAATCACTTCCGTGTACGATTTATGACAAATATAATACAAACTTAAGCCTTCTTATTTCCTTCCCTAAAATTTTCGTTTAAAATCAGCAGTTCCCCAAGACCTTGGTCAGCTTTACCCCTCCCCCCCAATCATTTATTTGTCTAAGTGGCGCCTTCATCAAACATTAGTTTAAAACATTTTTTAAAAAGTGACAACTATAATAAAAAAATGGCAAATTCAGTTTAAATAACATTTAATATCTCACATTATTTTCTCTCTGGAAACATACTCCACATTCTTGCACACACAATTCACATACCAACAGTATCACATGTACACACACAAGCACGTACACCTCCACATATATTTGGCTATATTGAATGTAAAACAATCTATTTTTTTTCCCTGTCAGTTATCCCAAAAATCTTTTTTCTATCTATCCACTCTTTTCACCTCACTTGACCTCTTTCATGCTCCCCTTATTTCTCTCTTTCTAAAAGTCCTGTTCAAATTTCCACCTTTCAGTAATGATTAAATATTGATGATGTTTTGTATTCTGGTAAAATTGAATATTCTCATCATAACAAAGATTTATGTGTCTCTTAGATGTGGACGTGTTATTTGCAGTATTACAATCAAATTTAGTTATTGGCTTTTACTACAGACTACAGACTGACATTAGCCTCCATGAAAGTTTTCTCTGAAATGGATTTCCTCTTATCCTATGGGCCTATGGTGAGTGCCCAATACAGTGGAACCTACTTCAACAGCCTCCTGTCTTCAGATCTAACACCTAGCCTTCTCGGATAAGAGTAGAAATCTCGGAAGTCCCGTGTGCGAGTTGCGCACATTAAAGACTCCTTAGTGGTCCAAAATCTATAAGAGTAGGCTTCGGATGCCACACAGGCAAAGTTAAAAATTTCCTACCTCCTGAACATGTTTAATGTGTTCAGCACACTCATATGACCGTATGCAATTGCGAGCCCCGTAAAACACCACCAAAAAAAAAAGCCATATGTTTAAGACAATTCCCTGTCCGAACGACCACTTCCCCTCTTGACTTAGTTTTGTCTTTTAACCATAATAGAACTGTTCAAAACGTCTGCTTGAGAAAAACATTTTTTGTCCTTGACAATTGCTGTCTATCCTGGACAGTTTTGAATATATACACTATTCTTAAGTAAAAATATCACTATAAAATTTGAGACTAAAAATAAAAATACTTTCTAAAAGAAACAATGTCAACTTACAACGGGGTATGTATTTCGCTCCAAAAACACTCTCAGTATTTATGCTAGGCCTCCCTGACCAAAGCTATTTCTAGAATTGTGTCCACCTTTGGGCAACTTAAAAGATACTTTTAAATAAAAATAATTTTTTATCAGAACTTTTAGAGGCAACAATCTACTCACATTCATTATTAAAGGTTTCAATAGGCTGAAATAAACCAAGGCACAACATCAGAATAATTGACGTTAATGTCAAGTCAGTCCATACTGTACCTAAATTCACAATAAATCAGATGCAAATTTTTTTTCAAATTTCCATGAAATGAGGGTAAGTTGTAGCTATTTGGTTTTTCCCTGTTCCTATAATATACAGATTAAGTGGTGGGACATTGTCAAGTCTAGATGGGGCAATGGTTTGTCTGGTCCCATACGTTGCTGATGATCGAGTCATATAAAGATTTCAATAAAATAAACATACCATCAGCCTGAGCAACATTCCTCTTGCAACATATTAAGCAGCCTGATCTATTGGTCATTAGTGACTTGTACGTATCAAATCTTTTTGAACAAACTAACTAGAAATGTGTGATATTGAAAAAGAGAGTGAACTATGCATTAACAGTAACAGGCTGCTGTGTGTTGATTCATGATTTACATATCATAAAAATTGTTTTAGCTAAGACGAACATTAGGCAAATGGCCTATACTCTATACCACATAATTATCTCAAGAGGTTTTTGCACTTCTGCTACATGACTTAAGAATCATGCTCTACATGCATACACTGTGAGATTTTATGAGAGTGTATAATTGTTGATAGCATGGGTTTAATGTCTCTTTCAACACTGTAAGTTAGTGTAAGGTTATTTAAGACACCAGTTTAACGTCCTTCTCTGATAAGACTGAGCTAAGTGGGTGTAGAGCCTTGGAAACTCCCTAAACTACCCAAGTATAAAAACACCCAACTGGGCATTCGAAGCAAGGCTGACTGCACCATAGCTCAACACAATACCAACTGAGCTGATGGTGCATCCTCTAACTGAAAGGAACATACCGTAAATCATCACAATTAGGACGAAACTTTTTACCAGAAAATTGGGGCTTCCACGTCATAATTCACCCTGCGGCTTACAAGATACAAAATTTGACCACAAAAACCCAGTAGGGTGGATTCACAAATAGTGTGAATTGCAAGACAGGGGTGATGTATTTAACATGAGTAAAGACTAAGAGGAGATCAGAGACCTCTTCATAGTGTTTAATTAATACTATAATTATTTTACTTTGGCTTTGTGGAAATAAAACTGGCCACTTTCAGGTAATGCTGCTTATCATGAATAAGTTGTTTGGGTTTTTTTTTTTCATGAAAAAGTTAGTGCTTTTCTGATAAACATTTGATTTATACTAAAATTTTGGCTGTCAAGTCTGTATGTGTCCTAAACGCAACAATATAATATGAAAAGTGTTGGGAATACGAGCTTGGTCACTTCTCTTGCCCCTGCAACATGAAAACTCTCTCACTCTCTCAGCCCACACAGACGACTCCCGCACACAGCAATTTCAAAGACAAACAAACAGAAAACAAGAGATCACATCTCCCCTTTTTTTTGCTGTCTTCTCAAAATATAGCCTAAATATACAAGAAAAACAATAGCCAGAAACAATCCATATAAAAAATTTGGGTTTTGTACAAAAGCAATGGCAATAAAAGAAAACACATGAGAGTTGTTAATGAATTTATGTTCAACATCAACAAACAAATTGTGATCTGAGATTCTGTTTTCACTTCATTCTTTCCCGAAATAGAGCCTCGTGTTGATCACTATGAAATATTCCGCAATTTCCCAAACCCTCGTATCGTCAGCAACCTGTTAAAAAATACTAAGCCCATAAATGTTTCTGGAGAGGGAATAACTGTTTCAGTCTTTAAAAATTGCACCTTTACCATAAAAGTTGCACCGTTATAATGTATTTTTTCTTCTTTTTTTTCAACATTTACTATTTAGAATTGCGTATTTCAACAAAATATCTCAAGCATCGTGCGACCAATACCACAGATTAAGAAACAGAAATAAAAAATAGAGATTCGAAATTCTGGGCTTAGTAAATTACAGTATCCGACCATTCGTAGATTACAATATCCGACCAGCTAGTCAACAACATGGTGTCTATAAATTTTAACAAAGCTGTAAGTTGTAGAAGGTGAATCATGCAGGAAAACACCTTCTTTTTTCGTTAAAAAGATGAGAATATCTCTATAGTGTTAAAATTCTACTTGATAAAATCATATATTAATATGGTTAGTATTTAATATTTAGCTTATTTGAGTAAACCATAAACTTTCCAAAGCTCTGTGCTCTCTGACTCTACGACTACTGCTAAACATCCGATAGAAACACAGCTAAGACCAGGGACATAGTGTCACTGAGAAACTTCCAACCCTGTCAAGACCCTGTCTTCTGAATCAACACCAGGTTCATTTCAGGAATAAAACTCACATAACCTGTAATTATACACATCAAATGTTTAATACATTTTTCATTGCAGCCATTTTCAGAACAGGAAGTGTTTTCCTTGTGTGGAAAAAATGAGTTGCAGATATACAATGTGTACAAACTTTGCTTTCACTTTCACCCCGCCACATCGGTGGGATGACAGACGTCTGTATTTTGTTTACGCACTCAGAGCAGACATGCCAATATGTACAGCAACAATATAACCGTATATCGATGGCTGAGCGCAAGAAGTGACTCTATCCACTTTCGGTCGAAATGGAGAGAAATGATAGGCCTATATGGGTAGTGAGATTTTAAGCCACTATTTTACCCTTGTAATTATATCTAAGCGGTAGCTTAATTTGGTATCGAGATATTAATGTTTCTTTTTTGACTATGTTACAGAGATTTCAAAATCGCCAAAACTTCAACTTCTTTTTCTCAAAACAGTGAAAAGTGGATAAAGTCACTTTTTGTGCTCAGCAGTCGATATATATATATATATAGATATGTTTCATCACTGTCTCAAGAAAAATGAGTAGCTCTATTTTTCTGTTTAATTTACCCTGCACAACAAGGTCAAACAGAGTTATGCATTCTTCTTGTGACAGCGGTGATATAAAATAGTTATAATCATAATGTTCAGAAACAACGTTATTGAACAGTGCCATAAAAGGAGTCATAAAAAAAATCATAAAGCAAAATTTATGTATAACAAAAATTATCAACATCTTCATCATTATCATCACAAGTATAAATATATCTGAACGCGTACCCAGATAGCAAACAAATTAACAACAGTAACAAAAAAAGAAAAAAAAAAGAAAAAAAGAAGGGTACTCTGAAGGTTATGGCTTTGTCATACAGCAAAAAAAAAAGCACCTAATTCTTTGGCACTAAAATAATTTTATACCGCTCTTTTTCTAAGCTATAAAAACTAAAAAATCTACAGGTTTTGCTTCATCATAACTAAATGTACTTTTCTTTTTTTCAGTGTGTTACTTCTACCACTCTCCATATCTTTCTGACAAATTGTGGCTGTCACTGAGCCAAATCCCTATAAGCGAAAACTTGAACTCAACAATTAAAAGGAAATGTAAATCGATCTCTTAACCAAATTTGAAGAAGAATATAGCCTCCTTTTTTCCCTTTTGCGCGTTACACTGTAATAATATAATTTTTAATATAAATAAAAAAACATTTTTCCTTAAATGACTCTGGTAACCAACCCATCTATTTTACTGATTGCTTTAACTAAAATAAACATGCTTTCTCTTATTTGATTGGCGACGTCAGAGTCAGCCAATGTGTGCCCTAAGCCATTGATACACACAAGGGACAGCCACACTTAAGTCATATCTTTCCTTTGCCAATCTCTCTACACATAGGAATACAACTCACATAATTCCAACCAATAATTTAGCACTTGAAAATTCAGAAAAAAGAACACTGAATAAAGAAATATCATGAACACGAACTAAGCAAAAATATGATGTTATCCTGTTACATTGATTTTTTTCAGTCAAAAATAATTTTTAGGTTAAAAATCATCAATTTCAGCCTACACTTTTGTTTGAGTCCTTCTACCTTCAGCATCATGGCGTGGAGAGGAAGGGTGTTTGGTTCACAGGATCTGCCTCAGTTTTCATCACAACCTACTTCGTCAAAGCCATCGGGGCAGTCAGAAACTTTGTCGCAGAACATTGTCTTTTTCAGACACATGTTATTGTTGCATGGGCTTTCGTCAGCTTTGCACACTGGTCAGAAGCAAGAAGAAAATATATCTTGATAAGACAACGCGGGCGAAAACAGAGACAGAGGTAGACATGAATAATTTGCTTAGAGCACCTGAACAGATCAGGGAGGGAAGTTTTAGTTTTAGTTTTAGTAAGAGTTTTATAGCACTTGCAATACAATAAGGTCATATAAGTGCAGAAGATTAGAGGTGTTACTGTTACGAGAGAGAAACAAACACACAAAAAAAGAAGGAGGAGAGATCACGACAACATATGTTTGATAAAAAAGAAGGAGCAAACCACACACCACAGCAGCCACCAATCCCCACTGGGTGAAGGAAAAGATCAAGATGATATATACAGGAGGCTTTTTGAGAACATTCAAGTAGATAAAACAGTGGTAAACCAAGATCATCAATGTCTGTTTCAGAACTGACACTAGAAGGAGAAGAAGAAGGCAATAAGGTAAAATAATACCTAGCTGCATCGGTTGAGCACCTCTTTAAAGAAACACTAGGCGGTTATTCAAGAGGTGAGACTTCTGAATTTGAAATTTACCTCTGATGGTTGGTACAGATTGTTGTAAAGTGATAAAACAACCCAAGTTCAAGAACACCCTATAGAGGATTTGAACACAGGTCTTCCTCACCAAAGTCTTGTCTGACGCAAAATGACAACAATGTGCCAACAACAAAGTGTTTGAAACATATAAAGAAAAAGACTTCAGAAACAAACAAAATAATAATATATTTTTCAAAAAGCATGTAATCCATTTCTTGAGAAAATTCAACTTGGTTTCTATGAAAAATTGTTCCCTCAAAAATCTCTTCTCTTCTCACACACATGCACGCGCATGCACACACACACAAACACACACCCTCCCCCACACATATAATCCCGAACATTTTACAAACAAACACGAAGAAATTAGTAAACACAAACACTAAGCACACACACTTTATATTTAAATGCATGCCTCTCATCCCCCCCCCCCACTACCCCAATAAAGTCCAGAAAACCCATTCCCCAGAAGCACACATCTATGTGAAGTATTTACCTCCGGAGCCAGAAGATGCTTCAGTGGAGGTGCTTGCCCCAAAAACAGGCCCTATAATACGGCCACCTGGGGAACAACAAATATAACAAAGTAACAACAAATACCTTCCTGTGCTGCCCATACATTTAAACTAAGTGTTCCAAAACACAACTTTATACTCATCCTGTTTCGTTTACATAGTTACAGAGCAGATTTGAATTATTTCATATTCAACTTGTGCCATTTACTTTTCCAGAATAGAAGTGAACTTCAAAGTAATTTGTTTCTCTCACTCTTTTGAGTAAGAAATCACATGCTGAAACAACATTCTCAGTTCACTTAAGCACTATCAAATTAATAAACTTTTCAAAGAAAAAATGAAAATCATATGTATTCAGGTTTGATAAAAGGTGTTTCATGGTTACCAAACAGTACCTCTGTTCAAAAGGAACAACATCATCTCCCATCTGTTTTTTCAAAGCACATAACAAAATCCTTAACTCAATCACGGCTGAGAGCTCCAGCAGTGAACTCCCCTCATATACAGGGCAGTTTTGTAATGGCAACATGAAATTACGTCTACCAAGGAAAATCAATCAAAACTAGCAGGCTCAATGGCTGTTCGAGCAGAAATCAAATCACGATTAGTTCAAATAACTTGGTATCGATTAGACAGAGTAATTCTTTCTCTAAAGATAGAAAGGCAGAATGCGAGAATACGCATCGCTAGTAACTAGTATGAGGGCGGGGCCTAAAATTTGCGAGTACTCTCGTCCAGAGCACTCAATGAATTAACCCTCCACAAACGCGTGGGGGCTTGGCATGTGAGCTGGTGAGGTTAGTTTCTTCTTTCCTGTCAAACATCTATCGTCCTTATCTCTTCTTCTTTTCTTCGGATTTTTCTCTCTTGCAAGACCTCTAATCTCAAGCACTTACAAGACCTAATTGTGTTGCAAATGCTGTAAAAACTCTTACTACAACGCACAAACTCACCAAGGAGGAACTGATCACAACTCTCTGTCAACTTCAAAATGTCATCGAGGGCAATGTCTGCCCGGTACCCTGAACCACGCTGCACGACAAACGAAATGCTGATGTTGCCAGGGGGGAGAGTCACGCAGTGGGATCGCCAGGTGTCCTCATCACTTGGTACTTCAGCCCACACTTCCGTCTGTGGATTTGGTCACAGGAGAAGATTGGTTTAGTGAGGGGCAGTAACAAAAAGAAAAGGAAGTTGTAAGAGGTATTATTCAGACATGGTGACAGTTTTATAATATGAACTGTCATATGGGCAACAACCCCAACAGTGGTAAACACACACACACAAACACACACACACACACACACAAACACACACACACACACAAA